ACTATCATATTTAAAGCAAAACAGTTTGTACTATTGTTTTGACGTCAAATACGGGATTATAATTTAACAATTAAGATATTCATGCCTAGCCATGGTAGTTCATCAGCAAATGAATATTCTTCATGTTTGCAAAGAATCTAAATGAATTTTCTTTTAGAAATGTAAATATTATAATATAAACTGTTTTTTTAATCAATCTAAACCCCGTGTTATAACGAAAATTTATTGATTCCCAAATGCTAGAACGCAGTTCAGCAAATTATTAAAATTCAAGGAATCTACTCTAATTGTTCGTATAATAGTCTGGCGGAGAGACTAGATTAGGGTTGATTTACTCTTTACAACTAACTGAACTGTTATGCAACATACACTTCATGTTCACGTCATGGAAATAGAAATTAACCATTTCCCCGCAAGCACCTTATAGCGTGGTACACATTTCTCTAAAGTTATGAGTAAATAATATTATATTTTAATACAAATATAACTTTTCCTATCTTATGAGATTTTTGCAAGTATGAAATAAAAGGATATTGGCATAAAATTTAAGATTTAATGAACTTTTTAAAGTGCGTGAAAATGCGTGGGGAAACAGTATATGCTTGACTTTGCGTTAGAAATAGGAAATGGTATGTGCTTTAAAATGCGTGACTACGAGGAAGGGGGTTAATTTTAATATTGGAGCAAATCTGTAATTTAAGAGGGGTTTGATCTCTAGCTGAATCTTGCTTGAAAAAATGTGTGATGACTTTGTTTTAATTCACATTACGATTTTGTGGGGAAAATACCCTCACATCTGACGTTTAGTTTATGTTATCTTAAAGATGTGTATGCCGTTTTAAACAGCATTTTTGCACAGCTGAAACCAAACAAAAATTTCTGAAGTATGATAAGCTATCAAAAATGAAGCATTCTCGCAAATTCGACCAAATATTATTCGGTGTTAACAAAATACACGTACTAGTCGGGAAAAGAACACGATATTCTCATGCACATTTATAAAGGACTGACGTTTATGTTGGATCTGCGCATGTGCGCGGGAAAAGCATCACGAGAATCATCAGATCGAGGAAACTATTTTTTGTGACGTATGTTCAGTGATGAACCAACAAGACTGACAAATAGACCAATAAGCTCAATGAGTTGTATTTAATGCATTTATGGGTTACTACTCAGTACATAAATACTACATGTATTTTTCGAACAGGCTAGATTTTTAAATCGCTCTCAGAAAGACGTGGTGCATTTCCCAAGCGTTTACATGCTTAATGCATTATGTACATTATCATCTACTAATCCCATGCTAACATTTGCATACAAATGAACAATGATAAAAATAAGAGTTTTCCCCACTCTATTGTACAGGTCCGTTTGTTTACAATTTCCCCTTGCTCTACTGACAGTGAAAAGACAATATCACGTGACTATATATAACTCGGTACAAAAAACAACAATAACTCTGAGGTGTGTGCGCGTATTGACAATGTTTACAATGTGTACAACTTCGAAACATACAGTATGCTAACAAGAAAAACTGCATTTTTTGTTAATGTGAGCATGGGAATTCTCAATTAGTAACTATTCTTCCTATTTTTCTAAAACAGGTTTAAAAAATGTAAATTGGCTTTCCAGGCGTCATTTGAAATCGCATCGTACATTTCCCTAACCCACGTGTTTGTAGACAAAACGTAGTAGACCATCATGCTTTTCGGCTCATTCACGAGATTGGACCATTGTTTGCTGTGAGCATGCGAGACCACGTGTTCATAAATATTTCAATAAGAGGCGATTTTATATCCGATTCGGAGAGAAAATATTTTTTTCAAAATAATATTTCATAACTTTTAAAAGTGATGGAGTGGAATTGTCTTAATTGCAGAAATTACATAACTACTGTAACTTGATGAGACACTACAGATATTTATTTCTTTAGCAATAAAACACTAATACGGCATATATATCTTCAAACTATTTTGAAATAAAGTTACACTATGAATTTTCCCCTGTAACAATTTGGTTGCACAGGGATACAATATGAAGCAAAAAAAAAAAATAAATAATTGTGGTAATCGGCTGGGCCAAAGCGATTTATGTGATACGCTGAAAATTATAAATGGCCCTTACGTTACATGTATAAACAAAGTTACGTGATATTATCACAAACATATTAATGTAAGCAATATCTAGACAATTCTTCAGTGTATTCGATGCGCACGGATTTGAAAATGTATACATTTAAACTAAAATATGTTGAATGGGGTTGCTTCTAATCAGTACTAGTCCACGATGTTAAAAGTCAGCAGTAAGATCACATCAAAATATCATTTATTTTTAGAAAAATGCACATTAGAAAAAAGACAAAATACAATAGAAATTATCTAACGATCATTAATTTTAAATTCGGAATACATTCTTAATTTTCTCTAGCACTTTGATTCATTGATTGTGATCATGGTTTAAAAAAGTTTGTCATATGGTGTTACTGGTTAGCTTTAAGGTTTACGCGATTTAAATAGATATATAATTAAAAAACAACTTTTTTTGCAAGCTTGTAGAGCTGGTTTCTTTGGACCAGGCTGTAAATTTGAATGTAAATTTCCAAACTATGGTCAAAACTGCCAAATGGAATGCAAGTGCAATAAAACAATCTGCAGTTCTGTATCCGGTTGCTTACATGTAACAAGTAAGAGTGTTTAGTGTTTTTGTGTTCTATTTCATTTGAATTCAGAGTAAAAAAAAAGTAATAAAAAAGAGTGATTGTTAAGAGTAACATACCTAAATCCGGTATGTTACATAATAAATGTTTCTTTACAACAAATCGTTTACATCATTTATGCTTGATTTTTTTGTCAAGCTTGCAGATCTGGTTTCCTTGGATCGAATTGTGAATTCGAATGTACATTCCCACAGTATGGTGAAGAATGCAAAGAGAAATGCAACTGCAGTCAAGAAATTTGCAGTCCTCAGTCTGGGTGTCCACTTGTCACAGGTAAAATTACTGTTTTTTACTGTTTTGCTTTTATACCCCCGGGGGAATTTTTGTTTTTGTCCTATCTAATCTAAATCTACTAAATCATTTCATGGAAATATAAGGAATCACTGTCTAGTTAGTATCGTATGCAAGGGCATCAACGCTAGTGATAAACATTGGATAATTTATGCATAACGGGCTTCGGAAATTATTTAATTTACTCAAGGTATAGGTTCTTGTACTTTCTTAATGTTAAATACAAAACATACAACACACCGCGCAATCAACAACTACATATAAAGTATACGAAGAAATGAGTCTAAAATACAGCAAAAAAATACAAACATACATCAAAATCTTGAATATACATGAAATGCATAAATGTAATCAAGTCAAATGTGTGGATTTACATTTAGAAAATTCTTTATGGTTAATAGTAAATATGTTTTTTTTTTTTTTATCAAACATGTTGTGTGATTCATCCCAATTGCCAATGCCCGGGGATAAAATCACCACTTGTAGAACAAAATCAAATCCAACAACAAACCATGAGATATATACAATCATGTAATATAATACCTTATTCTTTTTATCTCTGAAGGTCAAAAGGACTATACAAATGAGAAAAGTACCCCAAATCAAAAGCATCAGATATTAGATTATACACCATTCTGGACGTTCTTGTTGGGTTTTGGGACATTGTCCTTTCTTATCATGCTAGTAAAATGTATTAAGAAGAAGACAAATGGTGGACAATTACCCATCACAAAGAAAGAAATCAAAAGGCAATGTAAACAAGAGGAAAAAAAATCTATGGAATCTCTCAACATCGAGTACGATAATCCTGATACTGTAACTACAACTGAAAGACCAGCACACTCATATGACGAGTTAAATGAGAATGAAACAGAACTTTCTGAAAGACAAATAAAGGGATGTGAAAATGTTAACAGGTTTTACATAGAAGTAACAGAGGATCATACGTTTCATTATGTCAATTTGGAACAGATAGATTAGACAAATTCGATGTTTTCGAATAAATCAAATGAACAAGAAGGGTTTTGTAACACATTGATATCAATCTATTTTTTCACTCTATAATGGTAAATAATTTCCACTGAGAACGCACTACTTCCCCATCATGTTGTGTGTTTTGCTTTACTATCTTTCTACAAAATAGTTAATTTAAATAATGGACTATCTCATGTCGAACCTTTCTGGTGGGCGAGGTGGATGTCTAGCACCATCGTCTTTTTCTTTTTTTCTTCTAAAGATTTACTGAAAAAGTAAATATATTGTATTGATATTCTTGAAATGAACTTATTGAGGTCTTTGAAAGTTTTTGAGTACAATTGATCACGATCATATATATTTTTTCGTCTGTACTATTAGTTCATATTTATATTTATGTCCATCACTCTTTTCTAGATACATGTACAAACAGCTCACCGCTGCTTTGTTTTGTTACGAATTTTATTTCAAATACGACAGGACAATTATCTGTGAGAATGAAAATGTCGCTTATTCAATACATTGAATGACGAAAATGAAGTTTTAACAACAAGGGGGAAATCAGCAAAAGCCAACATTTTTCACATATAAATACATGTATATACATTTTACAAGATATGAACATATACGTTCTGATTGAAATGTCAGATGGCATATTGCTGGGTCAATGTAATTTTTAGTTTATGCCAACTAACAGCCAACCTTAAGAACTAGGCCCAATGTTGACTCTTTGTTACAATGTCAGATGGTAAATTGTTGGGCCAAAATTATTATTACATAGAAACATTTGCAATTGATTAAGTGATTCTTTACATAAACCCATTTCATGACTTTAAAAAAAATAATACACAATTCAACCTGCATTTATAATGCATACATGGACATGTTCAATGAAAACATTACTAATGTTTTAATGTTTCACTGTGAAAATATTTTATATACACCAATCACAATCTATAAAATGATAAAATAGACAATTGAGGTAAAGTATGAAAAATTATCAATTCAAAGTTCTAAATCAGGGCTCACTTCCTCTATCACTGTCCTTTTGTTGTATTCCCGCTCTTTTTTTCGTCCCTTCGTCGCCTCCCGTTTTCTTCATCTTGATCTTTGTCATACGGACTCGTACTTCATAAACTTCATTATGTTTATGTTGTTCTTTGATTTCATTGTTATTTACCGCCTCAACATTTGTTTTGCAGTCTCTGATGAAAATACAAAATAATTTGATTTTAGAAACAATACAATTACTGGTCCAACTAATGAATAAATAATAAACTTCAAATGAAGTCTTTTAATGAATGATGTATTATACTATTAGTGCATGTTGATCTATAAACCTTAATTGCCTTGTTACAATCGAGTCTGTAAAAGACAGTAAAGAATAAGATAGAAACAACTTACAATATGTTATTTAACTTGTTTTTCATTTCATTTTAATTAGCTCTAGAAGTTATTGTAAGTAAAGTTTGAAATACATATATTTGCAAAATGTATACACATAAATCATAAAACTATTTGCATTTACATTAACTTACAGTGTTTGTGTGCAAAAACATGAAAAAAATGAATTCCAAATCAATTTCAACAGTAGACCTGAAAAAATAAGATTAAATATACTTACATTGCTTCTAAATGCAGCTTTAGCAAGTGTATAATCCACAAATTTGAATTCAACTTCTTCTTACTTGCCCTGCATTTTCAGTCTTTCACCACCTGTGAGCAATTGAATTTGACAGCTCACTCCACAGTTTGTTGTTTAAATCGCCGCGCCACTTTCAAGCTTTAGCGAACGCCTAACTTTTGTTTCAATTTCATTATAAACCTGTGTCATTTGGTTTATGTATATTTTGGCTTCATTCACATCCTGCTCCTGAGAACTTATTAGGTCTTGTCTAAATTCTCATGAATACAACGCTCATGTAAAAATTCATAATTCATAGGATTAATTTCAAATAAATAAGCATGCATGGAAACCATTCAAAAATATAATAAAACCTTCTTTGGTGCTTTGATCACTTTTGTTCAAAGTTGAAATGTTGAAAATATCAGATCTCAACAAAAACAGTCATCCAGTTAAAAGCATTGACAAAGAATGTCCTCTTAATTATTTCAGAATGTGCATCTAAATTAATACTTATATCAGAACCAATGTTGTCTCAAAGTAAAGCTCAGCAGCTAAAATTGACACCATCATTTAGTTGGCAGTATTATAATTGGGCCACCTAAACAAGAGAACATTCGTGTTAACATCGGGCCAACGTTGGGCCAACATACTACTAACAACTTGAAAAGAACTTTTTTGAGAGTGTATTACAAACAATTGGCCAACGTTGGGCCAACATACCATTACTAGCTTGATAAGACACTTTCTTTAAGGGTGTATTACAAACATTGGGCCAATGTAAGGCCAACATACTACTACCAACTCGATAAGACATTTTCTTTAAGAGTGTATTGCAAACATTAGGCCAATGTTGGGCCACCACACTACTACCAACTTGATAAGACTCATTTTTTATGCGTGTATTACAAACATCGGGGCAACGTTTGGCCAACATACTACTACCAACTTTAAAAGACACTTTTTAAGGGTATATAACAAATATTGGGCCAACGTTGGGCAAACATCAACATTCTTCCTTCCTTGGAAAGTAAAGTGAATGGAAGTGGCTAATGTTGGACCAACGTTGGGTCAACAGAAGAATTATGTCATGGTCGAGATGGTTAGCATTGTAACATTGGTCCAACGTTGGCCCAGCGTTGATCCCCCAACGCCAACCATACAACCTCTCGCCAATGTTGGTCCAACATAGGCATGCTATCTGAGACATCCCTTGGATATTGAAGTCTGACCATAATGCACAACAAATTTTTTCCAATTTATTTCTTTTTCAAGATTTTGTTAATGTCACTATTTTTTTTAAACATCCTTTGTCTATTGTAAGGCCATATTTGTCGCCATTAATTGCTCTTTGTAAGTCATATATATATTTTTTTAAAAAGTTTTTACGTCGCATCTAGTCAGGACTAAAGTATTCTTTGTGACCTATTTTCCATGGAGGATATCAGAAAGTATGTGTTCATACCTTATAAAATGTATACATATATTTATATTTGCAAAATGTTTGATGTTTGCTGATTCCCCTACCCTTCTTGTTTGTAAAACTTATTTTTTCGTCACTTACTGTATTGAATAAACGACATTGTCCTGACCAGTGTCCAATCACAAGTTTAGAATGTTCTGTTGAGCTGTATAAACTTCCAAACGTCGTAAGTAGGAATGGCAAACTATTACTACATAATCTGTTTGATCCGCCGCCACGACAGACCATCCGGCTGCATTTCATTTCTGGAATTTTTGGTAAAATTCAACTTTTCATTTCCGACATTTTTTTAAGTTTTATTTCCGACATTATTTTGAATTTTTCCGATAGTACCTTTAGAAAGAAATTAAAGGTCATTGGCAACGAAGGGTTTACGGAGAATGAAAGGTTTATACAAAGGTTTTTTCACTTATGAAAAAAAAAGTCATTGAGAGTGATCTCCCGTTTGGAATTCTCTAGGCGCTGAAAACAAATAAAGCATATGTTACAGGCTGAGAGGTAAACACAAGCACGTGTTTTTTTAATCGTATATACGAGGGTTGTCCCGTAAAATCGTGGACAAAGTGTTTTTCTCCAAAAGTTATGGGCGCACTTAGCTGAAATTTTCAGTAATTGTTTTTTTATTATATCTAAGTGCATGTTAATTTTTTTTTTTATAAAATATAGGGAAAAATAAAGATTTTATTATGCTTGAATGTGCACGGGGTATTGTCCTACGGCGCACGGTAAACAAAACCAAGGTTTTATTAAAGAATACACAAGTTTGAATTCAAAATAAAAGTTTTAAATACATAAGATTTGGATTAAAATTATCCTTATTCAATTCCACAATCAATTTTGTAGTTTATGTAAAACTTTTAAGGCATTTGGTTAATTTTTGGCAGTTTCTCGAGCATTCGAAATGGGAAAGTGGTAAACACAACACAGGAAAAATGGCGACGTTTTATGACGTTACGGACACCGGAGAGTAGTTCCGTTTTAATTCGATATTGTAATGACACTTTTAGAGACTTGAAATGACAATAGAAGAAAAAAGATTATAAAAATATCACCATATTTTAAGTATACAAATGAACTAGGAGTTTTCTTAGCGATTTTTTTATTGATCGAGTCCCTGCGGAGTACAAAACATACGGACAAACTCCTAATGTAATAGCAAAAAACGCTGTCACAGTAGTCCACCGATATGAGATTTTCTATTAGTTGAATGATGGTGAGAATATTGCCCGTAACCTACTAACAAATCTTCAGAAGATCGCATGAGGGTGCCAAATGGTTCTTCGGCTGTTTATGGAGACTAAAGAATGTGTATCAATGAAATTCCTAAATTTAAGTCGGACTCATCCAACTTCATTTTTAGAAAAGATAAAACGTGACGCTGTTTTAAACACTATATCACGGTATAATCCTTGCGCCGTAAGATGATACAATACATTGCATAAAATCACATAATTTGTTTATTTATGCGTATATTTATCTGAAATTTACTGTGTATATTATAAAATTATGTATTAAATAATAGTCAAAATTTCAGAACGCAGTAATGTTTATTTTTTACACTAGACAACTAGTCCACGATTTTACGGGACAACCCTCGTATTTAACTCTACAATAATAAAAGACAAGAGGCCCATGTGCCACATCGCTCACCTGAGCACTAAGGGTAGGAAAAAGTAGAAAATTTTATTGTAAAGTTTAAATCCAAAAATAGTCCAATGACCAATCATGGATTTGCTATTTATTAGAAAATGATTTTTAAAGAATTTTCTTATACATATATATATCTTAAAAAACTTTGGTCGGCCATTTTGGCCCCGCCCTACCCATGGGGGTCATGATTTGAACAAATTTCAATCTACACTACCTAAAAATGCTTCCATATAAATATGATAATTATGGCTTTGTCATTCTTGGGAAGAAGATTTTTGAAGAATTTTCCTATATATTTCTATGAAAAACTTTGGTCGGCCATTTTGGCCCCGCCCTACGCCTGGGGGGCATGATTTGAACAAACTTGAATCTACACTACCTGAGCATGCTTCCATATAAATATGATAAATTATGGCTTGGTCATTCCTGGGGAGAAGATTTTTGAAGAATCTCCTATATATTTCTATGTAAAACTTTGGTCGGCCATTTTGGCCCCGCCCTACCCCCGGGGGTCATGATTTGAACAAACTTGAATTTTCACTACCTGAGCATGTTTCCATATAAATATGATGAATTATGGCTTGGTCATTCTTGGGAAGAAGATTTTTGAAGAATGTTCCTATATATTTCTATTTAAAACTTTGGTCGGCCATTTTGGCCCCGCCCTATCCCCGGGGGTCATGATTTGAACAAACTTGAATCTACACTACCTGAGCATGCTTCCATATAAATATGATAATTATGGCTTTGTCATTCTTGGGAAGAAGATTTTTAAAGAATTTTCCTATCTATTTCTATGTAAAACTTTGGTCGGCCATTTTGGCCCCGCCCTACCCCCGGGGGTCATGATTTGAACAACCTTGAATCTACACTATCTGAGCATGCTTCCATATATATATGATGAATTATGGCTTTGTCATTCTTGAGAAGAAAATTTTTAAAGAATTTTCCTATATATTTCTATGTAAAACTTTGGTCTGCCATTTTGGCCCCGCCCTATCCCCGGGGTCATGATTTAAACAAACTTAAATCTACACTACCTAAGCATGTTTCCATATGAATATGATGAATTATGGTTTTGTCATTCTTGAGAAGAAGATTTTTAAAGAATTTTCCTATATATTTCTATGTAAAACTTTGGTCGGCCATTTTGGCCCCGCCCTACCCCCGGGGGTAATGATTTGAACAAACTTGAATCTACACTACCTGAGGATGTTTCCCCATAAGTTTCAATTTTCCTGGCACAGTGGTTCTTGAGAAGATTTTTAAAATATGCTACCAAATTTTCATTAATTCCCAATTATCTCCCCTTGAATGAGGGCGTGGCCCTTCATTTGAACAAACTTGAATCCCCTTCACCCAAGGATACTTTGTGGCAAGTTTGGTTGAAATTGGCCCAGCGGTTCTTGAGAAGAAGTCGAAAATGTGAAAAGTTTACAGACAGACGGACGCCGGACAAAGTGTGATCAGAAAAGCTCACTTGAGCTTTCAGCTCAGGTGAGCTAAAAAGTAGCGATGGGTTTGTTTACATTGTGCTGAGGGGGCAGACTGTCAACAGGTCGTCATTTAGAATGGGTACATGAATGCTGGGACGTGCAAAGATGTGATGTAATTATACATGTACCGAAAGTGGTGAAACTAGGTAGACCGGATGAGAACGATTCTATAGGTAATGTGAAGGAGGCATTGTTAAAAGTTATTAATAAATCCTTGCAAACATGATTTATGACAGTTCGTTTCTTATAAAGTAAATTATAGAATGGAAACAAATAACCGTCTCTTGATCATAATGAATATTGATTAGATGTTAAGGGAAGTAACTCAAAATTAAAGAAACAGTGCTGATATCGCTGTGTTTTGTTTCAATGTTTGCATTTTCAGCCTAAGTACATGTATATGCATGTCAACGGAAATAAGGTTTCAACAATGTAATTTATGTATAAACCTTTTGAAAAAAATTGGTTTTGGAGAAAACGTATGGTTAGCAATAATATAGGCCCATTTTATCACCATTTTACATAGGAGACACATTGAAAATTGCAAAAATATTGATTTGACAAAATCTATAAAGGAAGGCTGGCTTGATGGGTAAAAGGGCCTGAATCGAACATATTTGGTACCTTAAACCTGCTCAAAAAATCTTGAAAAATTCTATACGAAAGCCAAAAGCGTTGCTAAAGTCCTTAAAGAATTCATCTATGAAAAAAATGTAAAGGGATAAATCATTGGAATACAATTTCTGACTTAAACATAAGCTAGGTGTTGTCACTGACATTCAATTTATTGCACATTAAATGTTTTATATGCTAAACGAACTCTTTAACGTAGACTTAGTGCTACATATATGTGTAGATTTATTGCTATCGCTCTCGAGCGCTAGCAACTACGTTAGTCCAAATTCCTCGAATATGCATGCTCGGCTTCACAGTCGTGCATTCTGGGAAAACTGCGAAAACTACTATAGATAGACCGTACGATAACAATTTAGCTGTATCGTCTTGTAGCATTAAATAACTATGTTTATTTATTTTGTAGCTTACACTTTAAAGATTACACTACATTTTAGTAATACTTCACATTTTCCGGGTTTTTAGATAGACTCTTTTTTTCTGATAGGTCAATTCAGTCAATCTTACAAATTCTAGAAACAAGAATTTACACAAAAATAAGGAATTAATCCATTATTTATATAAAAAAAACCATTCTGATGTGTATGGCTTTTAACCTTACATTTCTGAACAAAGATGACCCAAAGGACCAAGCTACTTCAGATCTTTCTGGATTTCTTTATACAAAATACACCTTGAGTTATTTTCTATATTACTTTTTACTCCCCTGTACTTTCTTTGCTACATTGCCAAGAAATTGTATTCTTAATTTAGCTCATACAATGCCTCAATCGGCATCTTCTCCATATTATAAAGAGCCCCCCCCTCTCTCTCCAGTAAAGGTAATAAATTTCCGTTGCGCCAAAACTCCAATAGGTCAACACAACCCCCTCTCGTTTCTTTACCTATGTGTCTATAAAATACACTTCACAAAACAATTTTAACTTTATTACTCTCCAGCCTCGATAAAAATTAAAGAATTCAGCAAAATAAGTTACTTGATTACGGATCCTCCTTTCTGTGTTTGAAAATTGCTACGGTGCAAGCTCACCTATCTTTTTTTAAATAGATTAACTTGTTTTCAACATTAAATTGCCGCAAAGGTGAAATCCGGAAATGAAAACAGAATTAATCGGAAATGAAAACAAGAAAATGTCGAAAATGAAACAAAAAATGTCGGAAATGCTTTGTGTATTTCCGGAAATGAAATGCAGCGGACTATCCCTTAAATCCCGCACATAAACAATCAAGTCCAATGATGCAGCCAATGAGTAGTGGGTAATGACATAAAAAATCGATAATGTTCGTAAAAGAAACAAAACTTAGTTTTCGGAATCCAATAATGGATACAAATGCTAGATTAATCAGTTATTTAAAAATACAAAGGGCTTAAACATGTTCCTCAAATTAATTTTCGACAATAATAAAAAAACAGGTTTCTCTGCTTTTCAATTGTAAACGTTATCAAAATGAAATGGAAAAATCGAAATAAATTATGAATAAGATTGCGTAATCCGTTCTTGAAACTATAACATTTTTTGAATTCATTATTATACAGCAGATTAAAGAATACACCCATATGCATGGAATGCGATGTTAACATGAGAAACATTGATTATTATGTTCTTTAACATATTTTTCCATTTGTAATACGAGGGTCGTGCATTAAGTAGTGCAACATACAGTATAGCATAATACATGTACATGTGTAGGCATTTGATTTTATTTTTTTTCACAGTTCAAAGTTTCTATGGAAGAGTTCCTAAACAAAGAAAAAATTGTATTTCTCTTTTGTTTTCGCAAAGAAATTCACTTTTAAAGTAAGCATGATCTCTACACTGAGCGCAAAACTGTTTAAAAATAATCCCCTGGCCAAGAAGATGAAAATAACAGCGTATCTGAAAACTATGCTTTTTACAAAAATTGCCGAGGAACTGATATTTAAGATTTGATTTTATATGAAGAAAAATTTATCTTTAACGCTGTAGTATTTTTAGATAGATTCAATAATTCAGAGGCAAAAATGAGATTCTAAAATTACAGTCAACATGGCCGATTGAAATTTATGGGGACATCAAAGAATATTGATATATATTATGTTCCACGTGATATATGAAAATGCTTTATTTACATGGAGAGAGATCCTAAAGATACTAAACATTACATCATCACAACATTATGTAGAATTTTGAAAAAGGAACAAATAATTAACAATATTTCTATCACGATAAGTGTTGGTTTTCTTACAAATGTCTTAAACAAAACAGGCGTTTTAGATTCAAGAGGTCTATTTAAAAATGTTTTTAAAAAAGCTTGCTTTATAAATGACAAAACATAGATGCACCTTTTTTAATAGCCGAAAAAAGAAATTAACCATTTTAAACCAAAGTCAATCAATAAAAAAACATGCATGGACTGTGGAATACTAGTAAATAATACTTTTTTAAATTACCTATCTGTCCTTCCTTTTCTTCGTAAAATGACAATAACTAGGGCAAAAATTACTACAAAACTTAGCACAATGGGGACAACTATTTGTACCCATATGGATATGCCTGGGTCATTTTTTCCATCTCCTATAAAAATACAAAGTTATTGTGAATTACAATGTGATTTTGTTGTTTTCAAGTTTTACTATAAGAAGTGATTATATTTTCTTTAATTTCCAACACATAATATATTAATTAGTTACAAAAATTACAGAGAGAGAGAGAGAGAGAGAGAGAGAGAGAGAGAGAGAGAGAGAGAAACCTGTGTTTTTTTGAGTGTTTCCTTCTGTTTTAACAGGAATGAAAATGACTTTTGAAATATGTCCAATCATTTGGGATAAATTCAATCTTGAAAAGATACTTCCATCAGATTTGTTTATCATTAAAATTTGTCTACAATGCAAATACATGTCAATTATTAATAATAAATATAAATTTATCATATTCTGTTTATTGTATATCTATATTGATTTTCAAAACAGAATGTTCGTTTTAAGTAAAGAAATACCTCGGATTCTTTGTCAGAACGTAAACAAATGTATGATCTACATCAAAATCTGTTATTTCTCCCTCATTCCCTTCATACACCTTCGTAAAATACTTTCCATCATAGCTTAATCGGAATATTTCATTTTGTTTTGTTTCTGCACAGAAGATGTCGTTATCTGTTAATGTCGAAAAGAATATTTAAAACACTTTCCATTAAAAAAATTAATCTATTCGTTTTAAATTTAAATAATGAAATACCTGTTTGATGAACTGCAAGACGTAAATGTGCCTCTTGATAGGGTGTTTGGAGTGTTGTCCACGTTAAATTTTCTATTTCAAATATGACAAGCTCATTCCCATGTGATATTACAGCAACTCTGTCAATATATTTCGAGATTCATTGATGTAAATAAACACATTTTAATTATAAGCCCCATATCCCCATATGTTGTCTTGTCTGAATTCGTTGCTCCTCACAAAAAATGAGTTGGTTTTCCGTTTGAGTTGAAAAAGGCAGTTCTGGCCTTAAGTCTAGATCATTTTTCTTTTTAGAAGGACAGCAATCTTGAATGAGGTAATAACTTCCAATTTTTCACCATTAGAAAGACAATAGTCAGATTGTCCAAATGACCTTGCATTAAGACCACAAAATTTTTCTGTTATGGTCTATTCCGATCTGAGAGTTTCCAATTGTGAATTAATTTTTTTATAGTCAAAACATTTTATCTTCCATGATTGTAAATTACTTTCAGGTTATCGAAAATCTGGTTTCTGCGCTGGTCGCAGAGTGGTATGGGATACCAAGCGTAACTTCTCCTAGGAGGATGTCAAATACCTTTATCTTTCTGTAGGTTAAATTATTATTAAAAATTTGTGTTTTTTTAATTATTATTTAAATGAGTAGAACAAAAATTTTTTTTCTCAATTATTCTTAATGCGTCATATTATGGGTCAACATTAACTAATATATAGTTTATACGTGTATTTAAACAAAAATGACATAAAATAAATCTGAAATTTTGTAAAAAAAAATTCAACAAAAAGTGTGTGTAAAACAGTTAAAGTACAGCTCTGGCTAAATCATGTTTAAAAGCAACTTTACTCTTTTCAAAAGCCCGTAGTATATACGAGGGCTGTTCAATAAATAATGTCCTCGGTGCTCGGAAAGAAGCAAAAGACGCTTTTTAATGATTTAATCTTCATTATTTTACTTATTAATCTCTCTTAATTAAAGCACATGTCCGTACCATTTTTTTAATCCAATTTTTGATTGTTGGTAGAACTCAATTTTGGGTATGACCCTTAGTATACTGGAAAATGGCAGATTCAATGATTTCCTGGACTTGTTTCTTCCTTATTAAAGGTGTTTTTTTTTTCAAGTTTGGAAATAGAAAGGTCTAAGATCTGGTGAATGTTGTTAATGTGAAAAAATATCTGTTAATCCTGAAAACCCTTTTACTCTTCAGGGCATGTGGGTTTGGACGCTGTCATGGAGAAATTTAATGTAGCGGATTCCTGATTCTGGGTCATTCCTCTAGTAAACCTTTCGATTTTTTTGCAAACAATTTGCTTTCTATACTCCTCCAGAAAATTAAACTGTCTCCTCGAATACGAATTTGAACAACAATACCACTAATATTTAAGAAAATTGCATATAAATCTGTCTCTGTGCTCTTGCAATTCTTTGCTCTCGCCAGACCTTAGCTGTTTTGTAAAGTACATCTTATCGTAAATTTTGTCTTGAGGATTTGAAGCAATAGATTCAAGTTCCATTATCCGTTTGAATATCAAAACAACGTGGATAACTCCAATTATTGATATTTTTTTTCAAAATGGTAAGACATTTGTACACGCTGTCGTTTTAACTCATTTTTTAAAATATAGGGTGACCTTTGAGTACTAAGCTTTTTTACCGTCAAACGTTTCTTTAAAAAGGTGTAAACTACCCCCGATGTGATGTCTATCAAATTTTCTATGTGTCTTAATGTCAATCCTACATCATCAAGTATTATTTGTTGAAATTTGGCAAACAGTACATAAGTTGTTATAATTTTTGTTGGCAAGGACGGTACCCATTTTTGATGCCCATTATATAATTTTTTATCACTTAAATCCACCTGCTTAGTTGTCTCTAAAACAGGTATTAGTTGCTATAAATGTCACATATTTCAGTAAATATTTCTTTTGGATTTTTAACAAGTTTTACAGGAGCTTTGATGAAGCTTTTATTTTCACTCGAGTTTACCGATTCTTTACAATTCATTTATAATGCAGTGTCTCGAAAAGCCCTTGTTTCTCAGCCTCTCACAATGAAACTATGTGATGAAAAGCGGTCACTTAAACTGTTATAAATTCATTAAAGATTCAACTATTAGAAAAAGTAAAGTTTAATGTAATATGATAGCTGTATTGTATGTCAAGCAGTTCAGGACATTATTTGTTGAACAGCCCTCGTATAATCATGAGTAAATTTAAATCCTTGAAAATGTTTTTGTCTAACAAACCGACATGTGTGAATTCGAATTGAAATAGCTTTAACGATTTCTTTTTAACATGTACTACATGTATCTACAATTCTTTATTCTTTGAGTGAAATATGGATTCATACATTAATTCTCCATCACAAAATTAAATATTTGGTCTCTGTAGTACATTCTGTTATTAATTAATATCTGTGTCTTGACGTCAAATATATATATTGATCATAATAACAAATACCTTTTCTCTGCTACGCACGTTATTTCTGTTGGATGTTCCACATATGGGAGATGTACTTTTGTTATGTTTCGGTTTGCATCAATGCGCTGAAGGTGCAATAAATAACCCTGAGAAGTCTCGCCAATAATTATCACCGAGTTTGTTTGGATGTCAAAACAGAAAAACTGTGCTTGTATCCCTTAAAATTATAAATTATATTATTTAATCCGACAAATAGAACTTAATGAAAACTTTAAAATAATACATATATTTTCATTTTACTTAGAAAAATATGCTAGTGCAGGTACATGTATATGCTAATACTGTATACTGGGTTATTTTCGCCCCGTGTTATTTTCGCCCTTTCACATCTGAAAACAAATTTGCCCCTTTTTTTATTCGCCCAAAAGGATTTTTGTTTAAGATATTATACAGTTTACTTTGAATTCGCCCCGTTTTAAATTCGCCTACACCAGAACAGGGCAAAAGAGGCGAAAATTAAACGGGGCGAAAATTTCCCTGTATACAGTAATTATTTGACAGCACATCTCAAAAAGCCTTTCATCTAGGAAATTTAAATGAGATCGTAGGCTTTGAATTATCTTTCATTTCTCTTGTATTTTATTTTCACTGTCATATAGATCAAAACGATATATAACCAACAACACATTGTTTTAATTATAATTTCAACTATAATAATGAAAATATAAGTTGAAATATGTATTTTTTTAACGGTAAAATTTTTTTGTCGACGACACTTGAATGCACTTTACTTTGAAATTAATTTAGTAATTAATCATTTAAAAAACTCTTTTATTCCTTCACCAAATTAAAACTTTTATCACGGTCAACAAAATTTTGGTAATGCTGATTTAATGGTTATTCTTAAAACAAATTAATGCGTCATTAATGAACGTTTATTATTAGAAAAATTAAAAATGTATTAGGTTCATATAAAGAAGATCTCTTACAATTCTTTTAAATCTAATAATAATAATAATAATAATAATAATAATAATAATAATAATTATTATTATTATTATTATTATTATTACAGTTGTATTATTACAGTATTAGCTCACGTGAGCTTCTGATCAAATTTTTTTTTGTTTTCTCTCGTCGTTGTCAACGTTGGCAACATTGTTGTTGTCATACACATTTTCTCATTTTTTTTCTTCTCAAGAACCAAACTTGCTAGAAAGTATTCTTGGGTAAAGGGGTTTAAAGTTTGTTTAAATTAAGGGCCAAGCCTTTTACCAAAGGGAGATAATATGAATTACTGAAAAGTCATTGACATCTCTTAAGAATCTTTTTCTCCAGAACCATTGGGCTAGGAAAGATAAAAGTCATGTAGAAGCATCTTGGGGTAGGCTTTATTTAAGTTTTTTTTTTTTCAAATCATACCCAAGGGGGTCGGGTGGGACCACATTGGCTGATGAACGTTTTACATGGTAACATATAGGAAAATTCTTTTAAAATCCTCTCTTCCAGATATAGTAGGCCAGGAAAAATGAAACTTTTGTGGCAGCATCCTCGGGTAGTACACATTCAAGTTTGTTCTAATCATAACCCCCGAGGGTAGGACGGGGCCGCATTGGCTGATCAAAGTTTTACATGGGGATATATTGGAAAAATCTTAAAAAATCTTCTTCTTCAGAACCCTTAGACCAGGTAAGATGAAACTCATGTGAAAGCATCCCCGGGTAGTGTAGATTCAAGTTTTTTTTTTTTCAAATCATGACCCCCGTGCGTAGGGCAGGGCAACAATGGTTGACGTACGTTAAACATAGAAATATATATACATTTAAAAAAAAAATCTTATTCTACAGAATCATTATGCCAGGAAAAATGATACTCATTTACTAGCAGCCTGTGGTAGTGTAAATTTAAGTTTGTTCATATAATGACCCTCCGTGGGTAGGGCGGTGCCACAATAGCAGATCAAAGTTTTACATAGGAGTATATAGGAAAAATCTTTGAAAATCTTTTTATCTAGAACCATTGGGCATGGATAGATGAAACTCATGTGGAAACATCCTCAGGTAGTGAAGATTAAAGGTTGTTCATATCATAACCCTAAGGATAGGGTGAGGTCACAACAGGAGATCAAGTAAAACGTTAAAAAAATCTTTCAAAATCTTCTTCTCAAGCATGGCAAGGTTATAATCTTATGCTTATTGATATAATGATATTCTCGTGTAATAGAAAATTTTATCCCCCCCCCCGCTCCAACAAGTGAACGTTTCCATACTGAACTGATTTGTGTTTTTTCACCAGCCCATGTGCTCAGGTGAGCGATGTAGTCCATGGGCATTTTTTAAAATTATTATTACCTTTTATGTCTATCAGGGTAGAACCGTTGCTATTGTCCATTGAATACTGCACTATTGAGTCATATGTTGCAAAATAAAACCAACTTGAATCTCCACTGATCGCAATATCCAAAATTATATCACTGTGACCATAGACCAATCTGCTGTACCGATTTCCTTCGTTGAATCCAAATACAGTGTTTCCATTTTTGTCAAGCAATATAAATTGTATTTTAAATTCCTCTACAAAGAGACAAAGAATATCAAACGAATCCCAAAATAGATTCAATTAGAATATTTTTTATTGTCTGTTATCTTAAATATTAATAATTAAGAAAAATAAATCATGAACAATATTATTATATGATTGAATAATTCCTATATCTCTGATGGGCTAAGACCTTAAGAAGTAGAAAAATACTATGTAAAGAAAATTGTACTCAGGAGAATGTTTCACAAGAGTCGATTCAATTATAATTCGATAAAACTGAATTGTACACATGCTCAGATGTAAATTAGGAATTTGGGGGTCCAGATTTATTTTTGTTTCACAAATGACGACAAGATCAGTTATGCATTACACATGTATACATGTACATGCAATATATATATATATATATATATATATATATATATATATATATATATATATATATATATATATATATATATATATATATATATATATATATATATATATATATATATATATACATTCGCATGCATACATTTTTAAAAAGCTTAAGTACATATGATACAAACAAAGTACATAAGATACAAACACATTTTTTTCTGGAGGAGACTTTATATCATATTATAGGTTTATAAAAGCGTACAACTCTTTTTCTTCTTAGAATTGAAAAATGAAATTAAATGATAATACTTCAATGAAAATCAAAAGCACACTCAGTATACGTTTACATTAGCAAACAAATTTCAGAATTGGTTACCTTGGTAAAAGAAATTGTAATATAATCTTTAAAAACTTTATAAAAATATATCAAGCCGGGTTAATTTTGATAGGAAAAGCAAAATGGTAAAAATCAACCGATGTGATATTGGTGATTTTTTTTTTCATTTTGTTTCTCCTCGTAAAATTCACCTGGCTTGGTATATGTTTCTAAAGTTTATATAACACCTTTAGCAACAAGGTAACATTCTGAAATTTGTTTTCATCTGTAAAACTTTACTGGGATTGTTTTGTCCATATTTGTAATTTCATTGAAATATTACTTATATAAGTCTATTTCATTTTCCAGCTCTGAAGAGAAAAGTTATGAGAATTGTCCATTTTTTTTAAACGTGTGACATAATTTTAAGTCTCCTCCAAAGAAAAAATTGTTTGCATCATCTGTCCTTATTGCGAGGTTTACACGTAGGGATTTTTGGAGGCATTCATACATGTAATATTAACACAAGTTAATGCTTATTTAACAGGATAAACACTCATTGTGTTTGCATAGGTACATAAAAAATCAGTTCAGAGGGTTTCATACATGCTGGTACAAAATATAGTTTATACAGCCCTTGTACATGTACATGTACTCATATAATTATGTATTCCAATATAAAGTTTTGTCAAAATGCTTTCAGTGAACGCACCTGCGCCCGCGAACTAGACTCCATAAAGCGGAATCTTATTATTCAAATGCTCTTCTAAATTTCAACTCTGACCATCAAGGTAAGTCAGTTTTATTTTGTTTGTTTTACGTCAATCAAACGTTATATCTTTCTTACATCGCTATCAATACGTTTACATTTTCTATCAATACGTTTATCTTTTAAATCATACTTATAAAAAGTAACTTACTGTATCAAAATCATTTGTAGAGTAAAACCCCAGTTACATTTCCGAAAACGGTCAATGGTCGAAGATTTTGAGGCGAAAGTCGGATTCTTCGATAGACAGCCGAGTGGTTATTGGCCTTGTCTTGACCGATTTTGACCCCTTTTTTCGTCGGTCGACCAAACTGTGCCTGTCAGGCACGATTTTTATTTTGGCGTCGGAAGCCGATTTAAGTAATTGTCGTTGAGCGCTCCGTTGAGCAACCATCGATCCTCTTCCGACCCTTACCAGACAGTTCGTTAGGTCATTAGTCAGTCCGTCATTTATGCCTAGATCACATTTCCCGACCGGTAGTCGTAGACCGGTGGTAATTGTTGGTAATCCGTGGATTTAACAATGTCCTTAAATCGGTCCACATAGGCTTTGTAGTCCTTACAGAATCAGTCACTTTATCCAGCGATGGGTATTCGATTGGCAACCAATGCCTTTTATGATAAAAATGGCGTGGTTGCCGGTCGGACTTTCAAGGGCCCAGCGAAGCATTGCTAATCATAAAACAATGTCCCAGGATAATCGGCCAATGTATATTAGATCGCTCATGCCTTGGTGAACATCGGTCGAACATCGGTTGACTACGGACCAATGTTTGGTCGATCATCGACCGATGATCGCCCGTTATCTGTTGGACACCACTCAACCCCCCGATGACCTCTGATTCAACGGATATTGGACGATGCTCGGCCATATATATCGGCCGATCCGTGAAAGATGTGTTAATGATGGGTTGCCAATGAGGAGCGATGTGAGGCATCGTTGGATACATCGCTGAATTTTAACTACAAATTATGTCCTACTGATGACCCCACCGATTCGCAAAATGACCTCAGTCTCCTTCCGATCACTAGTGGTGCCCGGCCGGCACCCACGCCATTTTCATAAAAAAACGCATCGGTTTCTCATCGTATACCCTATCGCTGGATAATGTGACTAATACTTTTGGAATGAGGTTTTCCGTAACGTCGACCGACGGTGAAAATCAAGCTGCGGCTTAAGTATCAGTCACACAATCCAGCAACTGGGTATAACATGAAAACCGATGCCATTTTTGATAAAAAGGCCTAGGCGTGGTTGCTTTCCGGTCAGGTATAGTAATCGGACCGAGACTGGGGCCATTTGGCAAATCGGCTGGGGTCACCATTAGAAAATCCACAATGTCTCCACCCATTGCTAGGCAAACCATCATTGACATATCATTAACATATTTAATTAAGGATCGGCCGATATATGGCCGAGCAACGTCAAGTGATTGTTGAATCTCAGGTCGGGGGGGGGGAGGCTAAATGGTGAGCAAAACATATCGGCCGATAATCTGTCGATGTTCGACCAAACATTGGTCCATAATCGACCGATGTACAAATGATGTTCACAAATTTACGAGTGATGTACAATACATCAGCCGATTATCGCTCGATCATCAGTCGACTGCCACCTTAAGGTAGGATTCTTCTCATATTTTTTGTATTTAAAAGTTCATGAAATATTCACAGAATCAAGAAGACAATATCAGTAAGTGATAGTATCAGTGAGATTATGTTTGGCCGTTTTAAATTAGAGACAAGGGCAGGTGAAGGTCATTATCTTTTTCCTTGACATAAAGAATTAAAAAATACAGTTTCCAAACCTTTGATGCCTACTTCTACTTCTAAAGTTTAAAGACTGTTCTTTTTGCCTAAAAAGATTCTACTATATTGGGTCTACAGCATAATATTACCAAATGTACCCAAATAATTTAACTAAACTGGATATTGGCTAATCCGAATTTTCTCTGTTTTTCTTAATTTTTAAGATATATTAGTTATTTTCATATGCTTACTATATTTAACTTTTTCTTATTTTCACATATAATAAAGTAGTCTTATAAATGTACAAAATGATACAAAAACAAAAGTTTTTGATCGTTTTATTAGAGAGAAAAACTACTTTTTATGGATTTTTGGCTCAAATCTGCAGTTTGCTGGGAAGCATTTAAAAGCTAGCATAGTTCTAGTTTGTTTGACAAATCATATTTATTTGATGTATTTTGAAAGTTTAGTCCCTTATTGTTAAATTAACTTACATTTGAAAATTTCAAATCTTCAATTGTGTAAAAATTATAAGTAAATACATTATTCTGTAATAATTTTGAGAGGTAAAAAAGACGATATTTTCATACACCACATTTCCGCCAAAAATAAAGTCCCTGCTAGTTTTCAAACGCAGTTTACAATTTCTATTTAAAGTTGTACAATTGTAATGAGGAAAGAAAAATATGGTCTATTAAATCCCTTACACCCAAATATATAAGACATGTAAGCAAATATACTTTGAATGTTTCATCTAGTCAGAAACCAGAGAAGAATCCTACCTTAAGGACTGTTTAGTCGATGAGAATCGACGTTGGAGCATCACATAAACCACCGATTATCACCGGTCTACAGCCGCCCGTGAGCAAATGTAACTTAGGGAATATTGAACGATGAACAGGCCACTGTCTGCTGACTTAAAAATAGAAATCTTTTTGCATATTATTAAATTATCGGTGTTCCTAGGAATTAATTTGCCTGCTCAACATCGCCCGTTGCTACTGTCGGGCGGTTATCTTTTCAAGCAAACGATACGACAAAAATTGGTCACCAGGTGTAAAATTCAAAAACGATCCGAGGTTCATTTTTCAACGTTGAATATTGAACCGAGGTGTTTTTTCTCCGTGTAAATTGGGACCAGAAGTCGTTGAATTTATACGCGGCGTCATTTTTCAACAGCTTGATATTTTTTTTTTCTTATCCCTGATGACCTCAACAAGTTAAACATTGACCTTGACATTGACTTTGTTCAATGCCTAGATTGCATGCAAGTCTTTCTTTGCAAAAACGTGAGAGAGGGACTAAGCATCCCTAGCATCCACCCCCCCTGGTTCCCGACGCCTATGGATTATATCACACTTTTGAAAACCAAGTCATCAATATGTGTTACTGGTGAATTTAGAACCGGTTTCAGGATCAAAATTTTACAACCCGGCTCGGTTTTCATCGGACTAGGGTCTAAATTGAACACCTTTGGTCTCATTATTCAACATTAAAAATTATCCCACATGTCAGAATTCAACGTTACACCGGCTATCGACTTAAATGTTACCTAGGCATTACAGTGACTAAAAGAATTAATTTAAACGTAACTGAATTTACCGTTTCAAATTAAATAAAAATCTACTTTACTAAGTGTAACCATTGGGATATTGTTTCTCAAAAAAGCGAATTGATTAATACAGAATTGTGCCTATTTTTATTGTCTAATTAACAAAACTGAAGACTTGTTTAATGATTTCATAAAAATGGGTACTTAATGTAACAATGACAACATTACCATACAAATCAGATACCAAAAACACAAAATAATAAATCTTGGTCAAATATCAGGTGTTCAATATTCAAAAGAAACAGGTCAAGACTTATTAAAATATGGCAGACAAAGAAGTGATTGGAGTATGTATTTGGAAAAGGTTTCTTTACCTGAATTCATCTATTAAGAAAACAACATTTTTCAATTTAGGGGACACTGGAGATGATAATGGTTCAGATTCAAATAAACTGACAAAACACTGATAAACACTGATTAAAGATTAAAAAATACCTTTACAGTAAAATAATAATAAGCATTAATTGACAATATATACAAGTTCAAATCACTTATCCCATCCCAATCTAAACTTTGCTAATCTAAATTGTGAGCAATGAATTCAGTAAATAATACCCCCGCCTCCGTAATGATAATAATGGCAGTATCCATGTTTTACTCTGGAAAATCCAAAATACATGTCAGATCAAAAAGTAAAATAGGAGGTCACAATGGCAATATGTAATAAAGACTCATTAAATTTGCTTCAGTGGTATGAGAGGAGTTGCGGATAAGAGATGGGTACCCAAAAGCGTAACAGACGGAAGGCCGGAAGGACATACCGATTACAATATATACACCACCCCACTTTTCAAGCGGGGGTATAGCTAGAGGTACTGTGAGCGATATGAGCTCACTTAAATATACCTCACGCCTTCCCTATGAATATAATGGTAGTGTCCATGTTTTGCTGTGGGAAACCCAAAATATTTGTCGGATCAGTCAAGTAAAATAGGAGGTAACCATTTAGTGAGCTCATTGCTCACAGTTTCTCTAGTTTTCTGTTGTATCCGGAATTATGATATCTGTCTATGTTTGGTTTATCTGTTACTATTATATCGCGCATGAATACCTTCAGTAATAAAGTAGTTCACAATGGCTCGCTCTTGTCGTAACACATGTGCTCATGCTAGAGAAGCAAGAACACAACAAATTGGCGACGAGGTAAACTTTTAAACTTCGTAAAACCGTTCTTGTCTGATATTATAACCCGCCCGGTCGGATCTGTAGTGTTAATTCGCAAGGATGGCTGCATTTGGATTGATTGGCAAAATCGAACCATTTGACGAGACAATCGAGTCCTGGGAGTCCTATGTTGAACGTTTCGAGCAATATTTTGAGGTCAACGAGATCGACCCTGAAAGAAGGTATCTTCTTTATTGTGTCTCATTGGTGGAAAACTGTATTCCCTGCTTCGTGACCTGACATTCCCCGATAAGCCAGCAACGAAAACATACCAAAAACTGTTAAGACTACTAAATAGCCATTTGTCTCCTAAACCCATTAAAACGGCAGAGCGCTTTCGCTTCGATAAAAGAGACTAGAAAGAGAGGGAAAGTATCACAGAATATGTAGCGCAATAAAAGAAATTATCCATACATTGTGACTTTAATGCCTCATTAAATGAAAAGCTAAGAGACAGAATAGTGTGTTGTGTAAGAAATACACAAATTCAGAGACGATTGCTGTCAGAGAAAGATCTATCATATGAAAAGGCGGTTGAGATAAGTCTTGCAATGAAAGCCGCAGCTAAAGACGCCACAGAATTACAGAGTAAAAACAGTACAGAGACCGGGACCGTGAACAGATTGCATGTGAAAAAACAGACATTCAAAGCCGAGTGATAGGAAAGACAGAAAGCAGTGTTATAGATGTAATGGCAATGGGCATGTTGCACAGGACTGTTGTTTCAAAGATACGGTGTGCCATAACTGTCATAAACGTGGACATATTCAAAAAGCATGCCGCTCGAAACCTACAACCTCCAGGAAACCAGTTCAAAGGAAGAAAACCGTCAATTTCGTAGCTGATGATTCTCAGGATCCAAGTGATGACAATTACATAGCCAGTCTGGAACTCAACAATTTGGCAAGCAAGGATTTTATCTGGATCCAGCTGAAAATAAACGGAAAGACAATTAAGATGGAACTTGATACTGGTTCTGCTGTGTTAATCATGGCGGAGGGGGAGCTCCGAGAAAAGTTTGGAAAACTAAAATTGAAAACCCCGGACATCACGCTACGCACATACTCGGGAGAACACATTAAACCAGTGGGTTATGTAGACGTGCTAGTTGAATATGGTGACACCAAACAGACATTATCTTTGTATGTTGTTCGTAAAGGAAGACCAGCGCTTTTCGGCAGAGATTGGTTGAAAAAATTCAACTTGACCCGGAAAGTGATCAAAGAGACACATGCCATAAACACTGTAAAATCACCAAACATTAGTGAAATTTTGGAGAAATACAAGGATGTGTTTAGTGATTATGTGGGAACTGTCAAAGGTATCACAGCCAAGCTGTCACTCAAGGAAAACAAACCTAAATATGTCAAGGCAAGGACAGTGCCATTTTCCTTAAGAGCAAAAGTTGAGGAAGAACTTGACAGATTGGAAGCAGACGGAACACGTACTAAGGTCCAGCATAGGGACTGGGCAACTCCAATCGTACCGGTCTTGAAGAAAAACTGAAGTGTAAGAATTTGTGGAGATTTCAAGGTCACTCTGAACCCGCTACTTAACGTCGATCAATATCCACTAGCCAGAATAGACAATATTTTCGCGAATATGAATGAAGGAACACATTTCTCTAAGATCGACTTAAAACAAGCATACTTACAACTTCCTGTTGATGAAGCATGCAAGGAACTACTGACCATAAGCACACACAAGGGATTGTACCGCTATAATAGGATGGCCTTCGGAATTGCGTCTGCACCAGCTATTTGGCAGAGGAAAATTGAGCAAGTCCTAGATGGCGTTCCAGGGACCCAGTGTATCTTAGATGATATGGTCATCACAGGAAAATCTGACGAGGAACACATCAGAAATTTGGTCATGGTTTTAAAAAGACTTAGTCAGTATGGTTGTGCAAACTTAAAAAAATGTGAATTCTTCAAAGAGAATATAACATTTTGTGGACACACGATTAACCGACACGGTCTACACAAGACACCAGAGAAGATTGATGCTATAGTGAAGGCACCTGCACCAACCAATGTTTCCCAGCTAAGATCTTTCTTAGGTTTGGTGAATTATTATGGTAAAATCTTACCTGACTTGGCAACTGTACTTAGACCCTTACACAAGTTACTGCAGAAGGATAGTTGTTGGGAATGGACTGAGGCCTGTGAGGAGTCATTCAACAAAGTGAAGGACTTGGTAGCTTCAGACTTGGTGTTGACACACTACAATCCAGATTTACCCATTTCTCTAGCATGTGACGCATCGCCCTACGGACTTGGTGCTGTTATATCTCATGAGCTACCTGACGGTACCGAGAGACCAATCACATTTGCCTCACGTACTCTAGCACCAGCGGAGAAAAATTACTCCCAAATTGATGAAGAAGCCTTGGGAATCATATGGGGAATTAAGAAATTCTATTCTTACCTGTTTGGCAGAAAATTCAAGTTGATCACAGATCATAAGCCTCTGATACACATCTTTAGTCCTCAGAAAGGAGTTCCAGTAACTGCTTCATCGAGACTACAAAGATATTCTCTTTTCTTGTCTGCCTATGATTATGAGAATGGATTCAGCAAGACAACAAAACACGCTAATGCTGATTCAATGTCGGTCGCGTCTACCACTGAAAAGCAAGGAGTCCGATATTACCATCGACCTGGTTGATGCCTTCCATCTTGGACAGATTGAGTGTCTACCGGTGTCCGTCAAAAATGTTCAACAGAAAACTCGCAAGGATGCAGTTCTAGGACGTGTGATGTCATGTGTAAACAGTGACTGGACTTCAACAGACAAAGATGGTAGATTAGCGCCATATTATTCACGTCGGAACGAGCTGTCAATACATCACGGATGTGTTATGTGGGGTGTACGGGTGATTATATCTTCTAAACTCAGAGACCAAGTGTTATCTCAGATTCACGAAGGACATCTTGGAGTCGTTAAAATGAAGACGCTTGCCAGAAGTTTCTGTTGGTGGCCAGGAATTGACCAGGACATAGAGATAGTGGCGAAAAGGTGTCAGGGATGTCAACAGAATCAGAACGCACCTAAGGGAGCACCACTGAATGCATGGGAATGGCCAACCAAGGCATGGGAGAGAGTTCACATAGATTTCGCTGGACCTTTCCTCGGAGCGATGTTCTTGATAATGGTGGATTCTCATTCAAAGTGGCCAGAGGTGGTCAAAATGACTACTACTACATCAGCGCATACTATCGATGTTCTTAGGACCGTATTTTCCAGAAATGGTCTACCTGCTACCATTGTCAGTGATAATGGTCCACAATTCCACATTTTCCAAACATAATATTCAGTGTCTTTAGAGACCATCAATTAACTTAAATGAAACAGCCTCATATTTTTCATTCCCAACATTTTTTTTTCTATGATAAATATCAGCTATTGATTGTTATATGAAGAATTACATTGTATGAACTATTTCTCAGTTAAAATGTTATGGAAAGGTAAAAAAACTATCTGAGTTCAAATGAATCAAGTTACCCCCCCCCCCCCCTCCAACCCCCCCCCCCCCCAAAAAAAAAAAAAAATCAACTTCCATAACTATGGTAAACATTTGCTGAAAAGTGTAAAACTGTCGTCCATAATTAACTTAGGGTAAAAGTCCAACCTCCCGAATTTGTCTCATATACTGCGTTCCTATACTCAGTATCATCTATTGCACACATCGTTCGAAACATGTTTGTTCAATCCTTGTCATCTGATTTTGTATAAAAAAAGGACGAATAATCTTATTCGTCAGCTATTTTATAAGTTTTATAAATTAACAGGACAGCAGAGAGTTAAAAACATGTGCACTCCCGACTTGGTGATCGTACCCAGTTTTTACCTTTCATCAAAAGAATTGACTTTAATCGCAGTGTAATATTAAACTTACTTCCTTTTGTTGTTTATCAAATACATGTAGACAACTTACCAAAGAAATAACAAAAATATACATAATGAATAAATTACCTCTTGTACAGGAAACATTATCGTAAGACATCTTCATCCCAAACTCACATCCACATCTTTCCATTCCGTATTTAAGGCACATTTGGGTACATTCACCATTGTTTAAAGAACATAAATTTGCATCTGAAAAAAAAAAATTAAGTCCCAGTCACACTAGATCCCGAGATCTTTGGTTAAAACCAGAACAAATAGTTTTACATGTGATATAAATAAAGGACAAAGAACTACGGCAAAGAAGTGCAAAAATCAGACGTTGACGTTTTACATGTATATAGAAAAAAACGAATGTGCGTTAAAAAATAAAAGTAACAGAAATATAGACTCTCCCTCAAAATTTTATGAATATTTTATTATGAATTTCTTCTAGAAGTTCTTCAATCTTTTAGTTTTTTTTGTAATTAAAACTTTTTGTAATTGAACGATATATCAGATAGCTCTAAATACAACTTGAGATGGAATCTATAAAGGAAAGAGAAACACATAAGAACACATAAGAATATAATAATATGCGAATATTTTTTGACTATGTGACCAAAAATTATGAAAGTTGATCAGCGTATTTTGGTTACGTTGCACTAAAATCGATGGTCAAAATTACTCAACCATGAAATGTGACGTTACGTAGGGGAAGTAATAAAAATTCAAAACATTTAATGTTGATGGTGATAATTTTATGATCAGATTTTGAAGTGCCATACGATGCATTAGAGTTATAGACATCGTTTTTGCATCTTTACAGTCAGTATAATTTTTTTTTGCAATCATGGTATGGCTGAGAGAAGTTAAATTTGGTCTTGTAATTTAATTCAATATTGCGTAAGTGAACTAAAGGCATCAAGATGTTGCTGTGCAGATTGTTTTCAACTTTTCAACCCCAAAAAAGTTTTTTTCGGTTGTCTGGGAGTTAACTTAAAAGGTTTCCAACCAACCATGACGGCGACGTTCGCGCGAATTAGCCTCACATAACATTTTCATCATAACACCTCCGTTATTGTCACGGCATTATCACTGAAGCTGATATTTATGCAGCAGACAATCATACTCTGTACTTTTTTTTTCACCCTAAAATTGACAGAAACTCGCTGCTCTAATTTTGGTCACGAGGTTGGTAACTTTTCCTCTCACACGCGCACGAACGCGTTTTAAGAGGAAATGTACTGGTGTTTTTTGAGACATTTTTACAAACATCCACGAGTACCTAACCAGCTGGATTCTGTACATTCTATCCTAAACTGGGATTCTTTGGGCGGGGGATCTGTTGGTTTTGTTATAATACAACTACTCTTAGCCATTAAGACTACTGTGGAAAGGTTTGAATAATAATCCTATGAAAAAGATAAATGCTCTCGTGAACCCAATGCATAGAAAATGCAAGTTTGATACTGATGGGCAATGGAGAAAATGAGACATTTTAGTTTTATTTTAGTGGATGTCGACATATCAATTTCAATAACTCGGGAATTATCAGTCAAAATTACACAATTATTAAAGACAAATTAAAATGTATGAAAACAATGCCGGAAAACATATTCGAAATAATTTTTTTAAATTTAAAGCATAAAGTTTAATTTGCGTTTCGTTTTTCTTTAAGTATACATCGGAAGAGCCTTTGTCATACAATTTGATGTTTTTAAAATGATTAACAAGCACTCATTTATAAATGAATCAGAAGCACACGACATGTTTCCTTGTTATACCACCTCCCTGCTTGAAAAGTGTGAGCAGGGTATGGTGTAATTGCTATGACGTCCGTCCGTCCATCTGTCTAGCTGTCTGTAAATCCGTCCGTCCGTCTGTCTGTTACGCTTTGGAGTACCAATCTCTTATCCGCAACTTCTCTCATACCACTGATTGGAATTTGATGAAACTTTCACAGAATCTTTTTACATATTGCCATTGTGTACCTTCTATTCTGCATTTTGAACCGACACATTTTTGGGGTTTTCCACAGTAAAACATGGACACTGCCATTATACTCATATGGGAAGCGGAGGATATCTTTTAGTGAGCTCATTGCTCACAATACCTATAGTTTTAAATGTTGTGAAACATGTGAAACTTGGAATTGTAATTACGAGGGATGTCCGGTAAAATCGTGGACAATTTGTCTAGTGAGAAAAATAGTCATCACTACGTTCTGAAATTTTTACTACTTTTAAGTACATATTTTATGAATAAACATAGCAAATAGCAGGTAAGATTTATGCATAAAAAAACTAATTATGAGATTGTATTTCATGTAGTGTGAAGCCGTACGGCGCACGGATGTTAAAGTTAAAGTAGCTAAAACAGCTTCACATTTTGTTTCCGCTAAAAAGATAGATGAGTTTCTCTATAATTTAGGAATTTCATTGATACTTACACTCGAGTCTCCACAAACAGTTTTGGAACCAATATGGAACACACACACAATCTTCTGAAGATTTATAGTAAGTTATTACGTACAAAATTCGCACCATCATTCAATTAAATAGAAATCTTATATCGACGGTCGACAGTGACAGCATCTTTTGCTGTTACAATAGCAGTTTGTCTGTATTTTTTGTACTACATGTAACTGTAAACTCGTTCAAAACAGACTTTGCTAAGAAAACCCCCATTTCACTTGTATAGTAAAGATCTGATGTTTTTAATTTTTTTAAATATTCATTTAAGGACAGTTGATACAAAAAAAATTGATGCCTGGTTTGATATCAATATTTTGACTTATTTTCATTGCGAATGATGCATAATTTTTTTTTTCGAGAATATAAAGAAATTGTAAACCTTCTGTGACGTTCAAAATTCTACCCTTCTGAAACCATTCTTATTATTCTATACAAATATTTTTTTTTTACTTCAAATTCAATTTTTTGAAACTTTGAATAAAAAATAGAAAACAACGCGGTGAATCTTATTCATTTTATTTATTAAACCATGACATAAGTCGTTATTTTCAAATATTTTGAAAAGAGTTTGTTTATCAACTGGTTATCAACTGTCCTTAAAGTCTCTAAATGAGTCATTACAACATCTAAATCAAACACAAAGTCTGCTCTCTTGTGCGCCGTAAGGTCATGAAACGTATCCATGTTTCATGTGTTTGTTTACCTCTTTCCCATTTCGTATGCTCGGGAAACTGTCAAAAATTAACAAAATGAATTGGGTTTTTTTAAGACGATAAAATAGATAATGGAATGAAATAAGCATAATTTTTTCCCCAATCTTATCTATTTCAAACTTTTATGTCGAATTAATACTTGCGTTTTCTCTAATAAAACTTTTGTTGACCGTGTGCCGTTGGACCGTACCCTGCGCACATTCAAGCTAAACAAAATCTCTATTTTTTTCTTTATTTTATCAAAATCATATGATGCAATTAAATATGATAGATAAACATTTGCTGAAAATGTTAGCTTAGTGTGCCCATTATTTTTCGAGAAAAACGTTTTGTCCATGATTTTACCAATCGATCCTCGTGCATACTGTAACTACATTTTTTTCAGTTATTTGAGGGGTACATGTACTTGTCATGAAGAGAGTATAAAAAAATACTTCTTTATTTCACTTCGTCACTTAGAAACGTTATTTACTGAACAGTATAAAGCAATAATATTCAAGAATAAATTCTTTTTTGTATAATTTACATACAAGTAAGGCCACATCTAAATATTTGTTTGCCTTTTCTTCCACCTACATCCTTGCAATTTGAGGACGAACGTTTTTTAAAGGTTGTTATTTATTTTATCAAGAATTTTGTGAGTAAAACAATTTTATCTTGGTCACTCAATTAGGCGTGGTTTTCACGAATTCATGAAATATGGTGACGTTAGATATTTTGAATGTCTTGGTCTTGGAGAAACACATTACGTTTTTTCAAGGCTGTGGGTAGACTGAAGGTTCGTTATGTAATATGTATGGATATAGAAAGCGTATTTGCTTAAAGACCCGATGTAGTTGTTTTAATGATTGGGGAGAACCGTATTAGTCCTAGTACCGACCCTACATTGTTAGTTGCAGAAATTAAAACTGTGTTATCGGTAATGCATCGCCGCTATAAAGTTGCAAAAATAATTGTTTGTAAATTACTGTAAATAAACTCGTGGAATTAATCATTGCAAAATTTCGCGAGAAGCCACATACTCGAAATCAAAATATTCAACTTTATTTTCATGGAGATGAAATCTATGTAAATCTTTTGATCAACCGTTCATTCGCGAATTATCATTCTTGCAATTTGCCGTTGAAGAGTACACTACTGATAATAAGTACTACCAAAAATAAGGAATCTACAGTTTTTACAGTACTTTAGGCAAGTCATCAGTACAAGTTTCATGCAGCCTTTTGTAGTTGCCA